ACACATGTTGCATTTAACTGCCAGTCATTTTTAATTTTTTTAAAATTTATAATTATCCCCTGAAGGTTGTATCTTGTTTTTGCTTTATAAAAAGAAAAACATAACACTGTCATTTTTGAGGACTCCAGGCAGTTGCTTTGAATTTGAGTGCTTCTGCTGGCTTCCTTATGCTATGTTTCAGAGTAAACTTGTCTGGCAGTTGTAGGGCAGAGAGGATATTGTTTGGTTCCCATTGTATGTCACTGGGGGCACCTGATGTCTGTTTGCCTCATTAGGTTGAGGTTGATATTGGCTCTGACAGGGATTGGGGAAGAAGCTTTCGTGAATAACTCAGTCTCCAGAACAAAGACCTGTTGCCCAAGGAAAAGGACTTCACCAGAGTCGTGTTCCATCAGGGAAAAATGTGTCTTCTACTCAAGCCCCTTGTCACCTACCGTAGCTGCAGTGTTAAGAAACACCTGTGAGAATCACAGGCCAGGGACAAAAACCTGAAAGTTATATGACTGACACTCTTTCCACCATATCAAATCACAGTGAGTCATAACTGGCAGGGTTAAAGACACAAATCCTTTATGAAGACGAGATGAAAATAAGGACATTAGAGGAATTTGAAGCCTCTAGCCTCCACAGAGCACATTAAACACAGCCCAGAGTCCAGCCATTTCAACATTGACCCCCACCTGAAGGCTTGTTAGCTCCTGTATATATTGCTTAGACACTCAATAGTTCTAAGCTCTGCTTAAAGACAGGAAAAACACAAAAACCAAAGATACAGACATTAGAACCAGAGTCAGAACACACAGCTGCAGGAACTGTCAGGGAGCTTAAAAGAACTGTGATTGCTGTGTTAAGGGTCCTAATAGCAAAAGGAGACAACCCCACAGGACCAGGTCATCTGAGCTGAGTGATGGAATTGCTAAGACACACGAGCAGAAATATTAGAAATGAAAAGCACTGATGACGAGTGGAGCATGCCTTTGATGGGCTCATCAGGTACTAGATATGACTGAAGAAAGAATTAATGAGCTTGAAATTAGGTCAATTAAACTTATTGGGGAAAAATACAAAGGAAAAAAATGAAACGGAAAATCAAAAACTTTTGGGATAATTATAAAAGATGTAATATATGGATAATTAGAATGCCAGGAGGAAAATCAGGCAAGAGTTGAAAAACATATCTGAAGTAATAATGGAAGAGAATTTACCCAAATGAAGTCCAGACCTTAAACCAAACATCTGAAGAGTACAGAGACTGCCAAGCAGGACAAGCAGTAAAAACCATACTTACCTCATTCCAAAGAAAAACCCAAGACAAAGAGAGAACCTTTGAAGAAATGAGGGCTACCTATAGAGGCAAAAAGATCATAATTTTTAGTGGACTTCTCAGAAATTGTGCAAGAAAAAGAGAATTGGCTGAGTTATGTGAGGCCCTGAAAGAAAAATCCCACCAGCTTTGAATTCTAGCTAGTGAAATTCATCACAAGTGAAGGAGGGGGCTGCTGGGATGGCTCAGTAGTTAAAAGTGTTTGTTACTCTTGCAGAGGACCTGGGTTTGACTCCCAGAACCCACAATGTTGCTCACAACCAACCATAACTTTAGTTT